TCAAGTTTATCTAAAAATTTACTACGTTTAATAGATGAGATAATCTATCCGAGCTTCCGAAAAAAGTATTGTAAAACGTATAAAAAATTTTCTTTAATAATTGTGTAACAATCGGATCGTCATTTCCATATTTGGGACGTTCTCTCCTGTTGAAAATCCCTACTCGGGTATTATTAAATTACCGGGTAATTTTATGATCATATATCAACCCCTAGTGCAGAATATGTATATGTTGGAAAAAATTTTTTCTTGCGACATTGACACGCTGCTGTATAATATACCCGGGTCTTTTGGTCAGTGCACTACGGTACTAATTGAGTTAAATAAACTGCATATTGCTTTATAATGATATTAAACATTCAAATAAAACCTATATTTAATTAATAAAGGTCTTGTGTTTTGCACCGGGTACTTTGCAAGGGGGGGATATTGAAAAAGGGGACACTTTGGTCAGTGCACTACGGTAGTTAAGAGAAAAGTAATTAATTTATCTAGTAGTAAATTTAACTAGTGCGACAGGTGGTGCTCGTGCATCACCTAGTATTTTTTTAATTAAGAGCTATTGTAAAAACCGGACTATGGTACCAAGAGCCTCAATTATTTTTTTTTTTAGACCATCTTTATAAAAATTATTTAAAAATTTAATTGGCTACATATTATAAATTAATGGATATACGCACATTTACGGTATCAGGGGCGCAGAAATATCTTATTACCGGTACATAGATACACATTTTTAGCCCCAAAAAATTGCTTGCGCAGTTCTGCAGTTATATCGGCAATACAAATACATACGTATATCAAAAGTCGAAGATTATTAATATTTATACACGTTGGGCATTTAGAGGCAGTACAAGATCATGATTTCAAAGGACCCGAGCGAAGAAATAAAAGGATAGAGAGGCTGTGTGCTAAAAAGAATACAGATTATCAAGCAAAAAGATTTAGTCTTCTTACGATACCATGTATTCTTAGATTAATAATTTGTTGAGAAAATGCAAATTCTGAAATTGCAGGCAAATTTGCATGCAAAACAGAGTAAGGGATAACGGTAATTTGGCAAATTATCGTATTCGACAATTTGTCCAGTATTGGTGTTATCGTTATCCGACAATTTATGATCATGATTCGTAGGGAGTTGTCGGCTGAGTTTTATCATATGAGTTTGCCGGATACAGATAATACTGTAAATTTAAAGGATAATACGTGTCAAAATTGTTTACTATTATAAAAGTGTGAAACCCACACTGGTTAATTACTTCATTAATAAATAATTTCGATATGTATGATAATTTTCATTAAATAACTTTCTCCAGAAGCAAATAATACAAGATTGGATACCTTCGTTCATAAATCTTTGGCACCATTGCTGAATTTGCAGACATCAATATTTTAATTGTACATGGTTAGTGAATTTTTTATAGGCTTTTTTATTACACGTATATGTTTCTGTGATACTTACTATTTGCGGTCGATTGATATATTGTTACTTTCGTTATAAATGGGAATTCAACGTTATCAAGACTTCTAAACTTCTCAAGACACTTGAAAAACAAGTTCAAGTTACTATATAATATAATATTAGAAAAAAAAAAAAATCGAGAGCATGATGCTATATATCGAATGATCCTATTCCGGGCTTGCACAAATGGTACGAGACTATTTAGTCGTACAAGCCACGAGTGTGCCTAGCGAATAAATTTTTTAAAACGATTAACCCAATACGCAATCGGCTATTCGAAGAGAATACGAATACTCAAGCAAGTCCTTTGTTTAAAAATGTGATATTGAATTAGGTATTATTGATTGCGTGGAAGGTCAATAAATAAATAAATAATAGATGCAATGAAGTAAATATTATTATAAATGCAAATTTATATTTTATAAATATTCATGTATTTAATACGGTAAATAGCGATAGTTTCACATTCAATAATGGGATCTTTGCTAGGAAAATGACTATATAGATTTTATGAATAAATTTCAAATTCGCTAGCCATCTAATAATCCAATTTAAATAATTTTTTTTTTATTTTGTAAGGATAAGTGAGCTATATAAAATAAAAAAATTGGATCATTGGATGGCTGGTAAATTTGAACATAATTTATAAAATCTACATAGCCTCGGAGGGCCATTTCCCTAGCAAAGATCCCAAATAGCTTCGGATCAGCTAACATAATTATTAATAAATCAGTGTTCGGAGAGTTTTTTAGAGCACAAACAGTTTAATAAAAATCAGGATTCTATGATAAAACATACTACAGTCTAAATTAAGAGTTTGTGCCACTGTTATATATATTATATACAGCATTAAATAAAAAGTTGCAGATCGTATCGATATTGAATTTAGATCGCCAGCTTGATCGCAGCAGTAGCTAGTGATAACGATAAAAAATTTTTCTAATAGTATGTGTGGAATTCTGTTCCGCTTGCTTCAAAGTTCGAACTTGGGTGATGAAAGTTTTTCAAATTCATCTCGTAAAGATTTATGGAATCAATTAATGACTAAAAATACGCAACGTGGTATTTTGAATCTTTTTTAAAACTTAAACCAATCCATAGTTATTCTTTTGAAAAGAACTACTTTTATATAAATAAATTACATATTTTACCTAGGTCCCGACATTCAAGATCAATATTCTGAATCATTAGATAATTTTGAATTGGATTTTTTTGGTGCAGTATTGCATCTGAGGGGAAAGTCTGTTATTAAACAACCTTTAATAGATGATGATCAAAATATTTTATTATGGAATGGTGAAATATTTGATGGTTTAGAGGTACATAATTTTTCTATCGGATAATCTTTTTTTCAAAACTAATTAATAATATATGCACATATAATTTTTAGGTGCCTTTTGGAGAAAATGATACGATTTGTTTATCAACAGCCTTGAAAGATAGTAAAAATATTAGCAATGAAATTAATGATAATAATGGCGTCGTTAAGGTTCTTCAAATGATTGAGGGTCCGTACTCAATTATATATTGGCAGGTTCACCCATCTTTGATTATAATTTTCGGTTATAATGTTTGAAGCATTTGATCTAAAATTGAATCTAATAGGGTTCAAAACGAAAACTATGGTTTGGACGTGATTGTTTAGGAAGGCGTTCGTTATTATGGCATATCCCCTCTGATGAGAGAGATAGTTTTTTGCTAACCTCTGTGGGTTGTAAAGTACCGCACAGACCAGAACATTTTGAAGCAGTATCTTATTTTCAGGAAGTTCCTGCTGATGGTATCTATTGTTTAGATATTAATACCATGTTATCATCGGGAAGTTTAGGTAATATTCCTTAAGGATGACCTGCCACCTGTTATTATTTAGAACATTTCTAATATTACTGCTCTAATGCTCAAAGGTTCTTTTAAAAAATTTCTGACTCATTTCAAATGGTATTGTATAAATTATTTTATAAAGGAACTGTTCTCATTTGCCCTTTTTTTGGAACCATAATTATTTATATGAAAAAATGATTTTAGGGATTTACCATTCGGTAGACTCAATGGCACACTTCCAAATTTAAATGAACTTCCGTCAACTTCTCCAGAATCTGCATCGAATCCTTTTGTTCCTGCAATATCTTTAGAAATGGAACAAGCTATTAATCAGATGATTGATGTGTTGGGTGATTCTGTGCGTCGACGAGTTTCTGAGATTCCGCGAATAGGGTAATTACAAATCTATATCTATATTAGTGTTACAAATTGTTAAAATTGTTTCAATCGATTAGTTGTTAAATTATTTTAGTCAACTATCGATTTCAATCGACTAATCGATTAATTGACCAATCGCGATTAATCGATTAGTTGCAATTAATTGATTAGTTAACTAATTAATTAATTTATTGAACAACTAATTAATTATTAATTAAAACAACTAATCAATTAATTAATTAAACAATTAATTATTGCGGTTTGCGAAATTTGATGATCAAAAGAAAAAAAAAGAAATCGATAATTTCTGAAATCAAATAATTTATTAATATAGACGTTAAAATTATGTATATTAAAGTCTAATCTTAAAATCTAAAAAAATGTTAAAAAAATCGGAAATCAGAATCAGAAATCATCGATTTCTTTTTTTTTTTGATCATCAAATTTGCAATAATTGAACAACCAATCGATTAATTGATTAAGTTGGTTTTAAAAAATGAAGTCGATTAGTTGTCTACTTGTTCAACTAATCGATTTTTCAACTTTCAATTTGTATCACTAGTCTATATCGCGTCTGATCACAATTAGCTAGAACAAGTCTCATTAAATAGATTGATTAGTTTAGGAGACAAGAGGATGCTAGTGTAGCAATTTTGTTCTCTGGGGGATTAGATTGTATTTGTCTTGCTGCGTTGGCAGATAAATATATTCCACATGGAAAACCTATAGATTTATTAAATGTGAGTTTTGAGAATCCTAGAATACAACAATCAAAAAAGAAAAAAACAGCTAAAGAAAGTGATAAAAAGAAACCGATTTATGATGTCCCTGATAGATTGACTGGTCGGCAAGGTGTCGAAGAATTGAGGTATTTGATTATATAATTATTTTTTACATTAAATAAGAATATGGTTAATTTTTTATTTTGTTTCTTCATTAGAAAAATTTCACCAAATAGAATATGGAATTTTGTTGAAGTGAATGTTCCTTACGAAGAAGTTTGCCAATATAAAGGTGAAATTCTAGAATTAATGTCTCCCTCAGATACAATTATGGATCTGGTATGTTTCCCAATAAATGTAGTATTTTATCTCCAAGCTTATGTTTATTTTATTTAAATTATTGAGTTAGAGTATAGCAATGGCTTTTTGGTTCGCTGTAAGAGGCAATGGTTTGTATTATAATTTGTTTAAATTGATTTTGACTTTGGACTAGTTATTGATATGATGTCATTTTTAGGCCAAATTGCATGTCCTAATGGTTCAGAGGTAATGTTATATTGTCTATTGTAAATCGATTGATATGCTTCAATAAGGAATTTAAATTTTACATATTATTAGGAATTTATAAAATTTGAGAGCAATGCAAGAGTAATACTCATTGGAGTAGGTGCAGACGAATTACTTGCTGGATATTCGCGTCATCGTGAAGCATTTAATCAAGGTGGATGGGAAAAATTGATTCAAGAGGCAAGTTCAATTTCTACATAAGGGTATTATGGCGAATTGGGTATTGTGATGAATCGGGATATCTCATGATCCTGTGAGAATCAAATAAGATTTGGACCATTCGATTCCTCTCATGGAGAGGAATCGAATGGTATAAATTCCAATCGATTTAGACCGTTACTTCATGAGATATTTAAGTTAATTCGTTTTTGTATGTTTATTAATATATAGTCACTTTTGTGACTTGGTAATCAAAATTGATTAATTCTTTTACCAATCGATTCCTCTCGATGGGAATCGATCGGTATAAAAATCGCCCAATTTGGACCACCGGATCATGAGATATTTGTGTTTAAGCTATTTATATATAGAATACTATAATAAAAAGGTATTGTGACGAACGTTGATATATCATGACCCGAGATCAGAATCCAATGATTTTTATGCTATTAAATTCATCTCATTGAGAGGAATCGAATGGTATAAAAATCGGTGGATTCCGATCTCGGGGTCACGAGATATCAATGATTCGCTACAATACCTTCCAAAACAAAAAATCACTATTTTTCATAAAACTTTAAACTCAAATAACTTTGGATCTAGTAATCGGAATCGATTCAGCTTAATGAGACGAATCAAATAATACCAAAACCATTCGATTTCGCCATAATACCTCATTTTTTGATGTTTTTTCATAATGAATTTATTATATAAACGTTGCATAATCTAATTAGGTACAGTTAGATGTAGATAGAATTTCAACAAGGAATCTAGGTATGGTCAGAAAAGGCTTTTTTTTTAAAAAAAAAAAACTCGTTACAGGTCTCCGTAACAAAATAAACTTCCCCATATAAGTATAATTAATTATCTTAAAGAAAATCGTTTAATTGCTCCAAATTAGGTCGAGACGATCGTATAATCACATCGCACTCCAAAGAATCTAGATTTCCATATCTTTCTACCAATGTTGTGTCCTTTCTTTGTTCATTACCAATGCACATTAAAGCTGACATGAGGTTTCCAAGAGGTACAGGTGAAAAACTACTATTGCGGCACGTTGCAAGAAAATTAAAGTTAGCTAACGCTAGTGTGCTTTGGAAAAGAGCTATACAGTTCGGAGCCAAAACTGCAAAGATGACTAGTGAAACAAGAGGCGAGAAAGGGAATATGAAAGTTGAATATGAATAAAAAAGTTAAATATAAATAAAAAAATTGAATGTGAAGAATATGAATGAAAAAAAATATAATGTTCCATTTTTAATAAATTCTAACTCCATTGATAATATTTATATTTATTATATAAATAAATTGGATTATACACATTTAATCAATGGGTTTTTATAATCTTAGATTTGAAAAAAAATTTTATAAGTTGCTTATCCAGAAATTGACATTCAGTATTGAGCCTTATAGTTAAATAACCCTGTTATATATGCAAAGCATCTAATAGCTCTTAATAGAAAAGTAATCACATAAAATTAGAAAATCATTATTTAAAAAATTCAAATAAAAATTTTTTATGATAATATACAGTCCAACTTCTCTATAGTCACCTCCTATATAAGCACATTTTCTTTATAGGCATGTTTTTTTAAAAACAAACCATTATTAAATATAGTAAATTTTACCTCTATAACTGTCACACTTCTCTACAATCACACATTTTTGTATCCCAAGTGTGTGATTATAGAGAGGTTTGACTGTATTATTGATTTAAATGGGGACCCTAAATTTCAGCATCAGCAACAGCCGCGATATTAATTATTCAATATGGTACTTAAATAATCTTAACGATGAAAATAGAAATATGCGCTGGTGCAGTATACACAATATTTATTAATTAAAAAATTTTTTGCTGTTTTATTGATTTTTCATTTGATGATAGACTTTCAGTGTGAAAACTAAACGAATCTCTATAATTGTTAAATTGAAACAGCATGTTATTGTAAAGAGTGCAAACAATATAATGTTTTATTGTTTTGCCTGTTTTGTCTTCGTTATTATATTCATGATATGAGTTATTGCATAGCAAAGCCATGCTTAGAGTATATATATATTATATGTTCTAAGCATGGTTTTGCTGTGCGACAGCCCATATGCATGCTCCTCTCGAACATGATAAATACTGTATAAAAGAACTGCGCAACAGGCAGACGTCGAAGATCAAAAGGTTTAATATATAGATTTTTTTATTTTTTGAAAAAACTTTTTTTAAAAAAACAAAAAAAACTTTTAAACTGCCGGTAGGGTGGCCGTATCGGTCTATGGTAATGCGTGTACATATTAAATCCCATTTTCTGTCCATCAACATCAACCAATCAGAATATATCCGGAGCCTATATTTATCATCGATATAGTCATGCACCAAAAACGTAACTTTAGTCCGTGTGCGGACAGGCATCCTTTTTTTGATATTGTTTTCTTGTTTATCACTATGATACATCAACATCGTAACTTTTGATGCATCAAAAACGTAACTTTTGATGCACTTTACTCGTCTATTAGGTGTCCTCCGCTACGCTTACGGATCTATCCGTTTAAAATTGACGGATAAGGATATCGATATCCACATTTAATCCGAATTAGTCGGATTGCGGATCGAAGCACTGTCTGAAAGCAAGTATTAAATGGTGATTTCCTAGCAAACAACCTACCCGTATTTTCGCGTAATAACGCTCATGAGCGTTATTTTGAAAATCGTGCCCCTAAAAATAATATATATAGTTTCAAAATAACGCTCATGCGCGTCCCAAAATAGCACGCATTCCATAGTAAGGGATGTTAATTTATAAAAATGCTTCGGAACTGGATTTAGTATTAAGTAAACCTTCGAACTTCAACCAAAAGTGGTTTTTCAGAAAAACTTTTCTAAAGCTCGAAGGAAGGTTACTTAGTACTAAATCTAGTATTTTCTTTGTTTTCTTTATATAAAATTTTTAATTGTCTCAAAATAAAGCTCATGCGCGTACTCGAAATAACGCGCATATATTCAAAATAACGCGCAGGTGAGCGTTATTACGCGAAAATACGGTATATAGGAAATGGAATAGAAAAACCTGCCTTCGGCATTAGCTGTCGAAGGCAGGTTTTCCTAGTCCATTCCCCCATATATTACTGTATTAACGAATTTAAAAAGATTAATTTGATTGGATAATGTTCATGTGTTGATCACAAATGGACCTTACGGGACTATGTAGATTTTAGGGATAAAAATTAAAATTTCTAGCCATCTAATAATCCAATTCAAATAATTTTTTTTTTTTTATATTGTAGAATTCACTAAGCTTTATAAAATAAAAAAAGGTTTATTTGAATTGGATTACTGGATGGATAGAAATTTTAATTTTTATTCACATAGTCCCGTAAGGTCATTTTCAAGGCAAAGACCCCAAACGTTCTACAAAATTTGGCCAATCAAACAGACTTCTACCTATGACAAATAATCATTAATTCATCTAATTTGTCCGTTTCTATTTTGCACCGGACGTTTAACAGTACCTGTTTCTAGATACATGTATTAGCTTGCCGAGAGAATGGTCAATTATACAAACCTTCCATTATAACAAAAATCTTGCAGCACCGTAATAATAATCATAATAACGATTACCTAAAAAATAGAAATATAACAGATATTTGGGAAACCTTTTTAATGAAGCGAAAAAAAACAAATTTGGAGTTCAAAAAAATTCAGCCGTCTCCACCAGCCATCACAACCACGTTGTTTCATAAATGGAATTAACAATCAGAAAAAATATTTATACTCATGTTGTCACAAATGACCAATGATCAATGAGAAGTGTATCTCGATTATCTCGATTTCATTGACTTAATGACATGTATTAATAGGGCATGTCCGATCTAATTAATATAAAGTAGACAAGAGTTTAAAACTCGATATCAATATTGAGTGACAAAGGATCGATCACGTTGCGATCAACACCATATTTATATACAATTGTTTTTTTTCTTTTGAACAATTTATAATTCTTTAGATGATAATAAACAACAACAATAATAATAATAGTAATAATGGGTTTATTGCGTGATCTTGCTTCTCAGAATTTAACTAAAGCCCCAAATTATTTCGAATAAAGAAAAGAACAACTGAACTTTCTGCGTGCAACATTGCGTATCTAATTTTGGCAATTATTATAAACTTTTTAATTTACTAAATTGGATATAAACTAAACTGGTATAAATTGTTATGCATTGATATATTTTTTTCCGGGATTCGTAACACCAATGCTAATAACGAATCGGGACTTTACGCAGTAGCGTTGTCTTTAACATTTCAAGCTATGCAACATCATTGATATTATTTCTTTTATATCTACATTGATAACTTTATGTCGAAATGCATTATTTTCAATGATTTCTCAAAGATTCGAACTGCATTTGTCCTTTTTTTTCTTAAACAAAATGTAAATGTTTGTTATCTGGAGGTATTCTGCAGGTATGCATTGCGAACTTTTAAGTAAACTATTCTACGAATGCATATAACACCTTTTTTTCACGAATTCGCTAGTTATCATGCAATCTTAATCATATTCACGTTCTTGAGTCTAAAACAAAATGACGGAAAAAATAGAAACCTGTTTATTGTGATCTTTAAGAGAATATCTATATACTTTTTGTTCTCACGAATTTAGATAATGCAGTTACTATGTAATACAGCCTTTTAATCGAAAAATTGAACCGAATCACTCTTTAAAATCCAATTCAATAATAGATTTAAAATTTCTTTCTTTTTTTTTTTATATTATTTGAATTCACATTAAATTCTTGGGAGATTATTGAATTTTGTGTATCTAAGGACGGGATTGAAGTTTTCTTATTTGTTTTGAAAATATTTTACATTTTCAATGATATTAGAGATAATCTGTAACGTGAAGGATATTGTATCAATAAAGAATGAACACACATTCAAATTGGGTTATATTAACGCATTGATAATCTTCTCAGTGACAATAGTGCTGATATATGCACACGTCTTTTTATAAAAAGGATACCAACTTGCTCTACTCTGTTTTCCAGTCCTCTGTTGACTTTTATAAACAAGCCATATACTCAATAAAATGTCTCACCACCACATTCAAAATCTTCTTAGCAGATTTTTATCTGTCCCAAGGAATTTCAGGCATGTGCAAGGTTTGTAATAATTTCATACAATGATATTTAGCCAATGCTTAAAAATTGCTGATTAATTTTATATTTTTAAACAGATCAACGAGGAAACCACTTTGGATTCTCCCCATTCGATAGCGATCAGCTAAGACAAGCCCAAATTTTGAGTGACAATTATTTTCGTATCTCCAGAGAGAATGTTTCCGACGATCCAGTAGCAAAAGTAATGGCTCAAGCGCAACAAGACGCTGAGCAATATGATCCGGAATTAGTTCGTTACGCTCTTATGGTTTGGACTGTCCATGATCCTGAGGCTCGCAAAAGAAACCTTAAAATTCCACCATTAGGTCAACGTGCTCCTCATATTGCTGTCCCTAAACTAGTAAATGCCGCTGTTGGTGCTCCAACATTGTCAACAACAGATCCTCCATTGACCAATTTAGATTGGTGGAGAGAAGATCCTCAATTAAACGAACATCATGAACATTGGCATATCGTATTCCCTGCTTTTCCCGTTAATGGTGTTAGCAAGGATCGTGAAGGTGAAAACTTTGCATTTATGCACAGACAGATGTTGGCTAGGTAAATACTATATTATCATCACTTTATCATTTATAAAATCTATTAGTTAAATCATTCCAAAATTTATCTTTTATATTAGATATGATGCTGAACGAATTGCAGTCGGTCTTCAGCCAGTTAAAGCATTATCCGACTTTTCTGAGCGTATCCCTGAAGCATATAATCCCGACTCTGATTTGGTATATGATCCAAATAACGCTCAAAATGTTACTAACGTACATTTTATACCTCGTTCCGCTGGAAAACAACTTACAGATTTGGGTATTTAACATTTACTATATTTGTATTATTATTATATATTTACATATACTAAATCTCGATTTATAAATTTAGCTGGTAATGGACCAAAGATTTCCACTCTGGTGAATTATAGACAACAGTTATATGATGGCATTGAAGGGAAAGGACAAGTAACTTTCGGTCAAGATGACAAATCAGCAAATAGACTCGGAAACATTCTTGAGACAACATTACATAATGCCGGACACGTTATGTTGTATGTTGAAAGTTTAATAATTAATTTAAATTCATGTTTCGGAAATTTATAAGATCCCTTTTTAATTCGAACCTTTATAAACCTTAGAGCATATATAATGACTCCACAAGGAACGAATAGTAAGTGTATCTCTTTTTATGTGTAATAAATATTTTACGTAAAATCATACAGGATATTGAGATTTTAAATTATTTTTTTAGGTCAAAATACTCCACCTGGTGTCATGATTGACACACGAACCGCATCTCGTGATCCTGTATTTTGGAGATGGCATCGTCACGTTGACGAAGTTTACTCTAGATGGCAAAATAAACAAGCACCCTACGATTTCTCTGATGCACCACCAGTTGTTATCAAAAGTAATGATATTATTTTGGCTTGGAAAGACAAATTGCTTGATGCAGATAAAAATGGAAATGCTGATGGTTGGTTCAGTTATGCTCAAAAAGCTTTTGGAGGTGCTAATTTTGATGCAGATGTTTCGAGTAACTCCGTTGTCACCAATGAACTCCAAACTGAGATGAAAACCAGGAACTTCGTTTGGTTAGAAGATGATAATAACACTCAAGTTGTTAACTATTTATATCCACGTGAATATTTCTATTTCTTCCGAGTTCAGAACACGACAAATAAGGTATGATTCTCAAGTACATTAGAACTTGTTTTTACGTCTTTACTGAATTAATTTTAATTCATATTGATACATTTTATCAAAAAGAACCTTGATATTACCTTACGTGTTTTCCTTGCACCTGAAGAATTTATCAACTCTCGAGTTCACTGGATTGAACTTGACAAAATTAAACAAACATTAAAACCAAACGAGAAGGCAGTATTTTCTCAGAATTGTGATGAATCAGTAGTAATTCGAAAACCTGCTCAAAAAACTCCAGAACAAATGGACACAACTGCTATAACGATCGAAAAACGATTTGAGGCAGAAAGTTTGGGCAGAGAACAAAAATCCGAAGTATACTTCTGCGATTGTGGATGGCCATTCAACCTTTTGCTGCCACGAGGTACCAAACAAGGCTTGAAATGTAAACTATTCGTTATGATTACGGATGGTGTTAAAGATATAGTTAAACCGAAACGTTCAAATGCTGCACCTAAGAAATGTGGAAGTTTAAGTTTCTGCGGTAAATAATGTTTTAAGAAATCTTTTAGATTGAAAAGTTTTTTTTTTTAACATCTTGAAACTCTTTTATAGGAGCTCAACAATGGGATGAACTGTATCCTGATGCTCGTAGAATGGGTAAGTCTCGTAATTAAAAATAATTAACAAAAAAATTCGATTGATATTAATTGTTTATAAACTATTTAGGTTATCCATTTGATAAACCATTCAAAAACGACTCTTTTGAGCAAACTTTTGCCGGTTTGAAGAATGTTGCAGTACGTGATGTTACTATTAAATGGGTCGACAATTTCCCTGAAGTCTAAGATTAACTTGTAAGAACTTTATGAAAAAAAAAATCAGACTTTATTTATCATCATTGTAATATTTTGCGCATTTTATCATGGTTTTTTATTTGCGTGTAATACATATACTTGTGAATAGCATATATTTATTGGTCAAAGTCTTAAATTTGTTTTTCGAAAGAATATGGATTTTTTTAGTGTACTTTCTAGGATTAGATAATCTTCACGATATCTTGGTATTGAAAAAAATGATGAAATATATATATATGTTTTGTATATTACGAACTCTTGTACGAATATTACATCAGTTATTATTGATAAAAAATTTTATTATGACTGAAGGAATAATTAATATAAACATTTATATAAATAACTTGATAAATGATTAAATAATGACGATTTTAGTAATAAATCACATTGTATAATGAGCTGCTGAATATAGAAAACGATGATAAAAAAAATAACAGCTAGCCCACACATGTTTCCATTTATTTACTGTACACGTTGACTATATATAACTTATTTTTGATATATCATACTTATGTAACGTTTCTTACACTTACAAATAAGTAGCATTACGCAACTCGTAGAGATCTAACCCAAATTGAGTGATTACTTGCTATATTTGGAAGGTAAGGTATAGTATTTCCTTTATCATGAATTTTGTTCTTAAATAGATTTTTGTGTGATAAACATTCTTACAACGAACTACTTTGATATCCGTACATACATATGTATACATATGTGCATGTCATTACAATAGAAATTACATCAAATCCTTGACAGAACAGGAGCATGTAATTTAAGATGCATTATTTAAGGGTAGCTGGGAATGAACACAATGCATTTTTATATAAATTTATATTCAAATATATTAAATGGGAGTAATTTAGTTAGTATAAAAGAGAATGCACCAAGGAGTTTTACATTGAAATATAAAGGGTTTTTAGAAAAAAGCATTTATTAACATAACAAAAGTTATAACTTAGTTACTACTGAACGATTTATGAAAAAAAAAGCTTAAAACATGAAATGCTTTATTCCTCTCAAATGTTTCTTTGATCCTATCTCGATACTACCTTTATTTATCCTTACATTATTGTTAACAGCTAATGTTTTCGGAGTTCCTTTATCAAATAGTAAAAATTCCTCGTGTGAGTATGTGCACATCGTTTTCAAGATAGCAATAGACAACATATTAATTGTATGCGTAAATTTATATACACAGCACCATATAATATAGTATCGAGTAATTTATGCGATGCTAGCGTGAAACAGGTTTGCGATATCTATAAATTAAAATAATTTTTAGCAATAAATTCATAATTTAATCATGTTCCTCTTGATTAAAAATAGTACTCTGGTTACATTGACATTAATCCTAGTTCTCATATGTTCTTTTGGTTCTTTGAAGCACGTAACAATCCTGAGACTGCTCCTTTGACGTTATGGTTAACCGGTGGTCCTGGTTGTTCATCCATTAATGGATTATTCGTAGAAATTGGTCCATGTAAAACTCAAAATAATGGAACTTCAACAGTCACAAATTCTGATAGTTGGACTAGTGAATCAAATGTTATATTCCTTGATCAGGTATTAACCGTTACATTAGGATCAATTTAAAAATTTCTTTTTTTGATCATTTTTCCATTAACATTGTTTAAGCCAATTGGTGTAGGATTCTCTTACTCTGATAATGAATATAATGTTACTTCATCTGAACAGGCTGCTGCAGATATATACGTATTTTTACAACTTTTCTTTAAAAGATTTCCACAGTATTCGAAGTTAGATTTTCATATATTTGGTGAATCATACGGCGGTCGTTTTGGTAGGTAATAAATATTTTATCTGCTTTTAAATAAAAGCCTCTATTTTAAAGTATCTAACTATTCGTATCACAGTGTCAACCTTGGCAAAATATATAATTGATATGAATCATAAACATGAAACTGGCAAAGACAAAAGAACAATGATAAATGTTAAGTCTGTTGGAATGGGTAACTCGTTAATTAATTACCTTATTCAATGGTAAGCTTACATAATTGTTTAAATTTATTCTTCTTGAACAAAAGTAATATGGTATGCATTCTTTATAAAAGGAAATCACTTGAAACATTTGCTGCAAATAATTCGTGTAAGTCTATAACATTTTATTATTATTTTTACTGAATATTCTGTAAGTTACATACTTATATTTGCATTCTATTATCTTAACAGATGCGAACGTAAATGCTACAATCACTAATCAAATGCTTAATGCATGGCCAGCATGCGAACAAGCAAGTAAGCGAACAAACAGGCTATTCTTATAAAGTTATTCTTCACAAATTATTTAATATTTCTCTATATGTTTTTAGTCATAAAATGTAATAAAGCAAAAACGTCCGCAGATTGTCTCTATGCTGAAAAGGTCTGTCAGGAAACAAACACTTCTTATGCCGCATACTTTTTGAATGCTGGATTAAGCGTTTATGATGTTAGAGCTCCGATTGCATCGGTGAATGATATACTTTCACCCGACTACGTAAATTATATCACTAAACCTGAGGTTTTACAAGCAATTGGTGCATCTAATAAAATAGAATATTTAGTGTGTTCAGAAAAAGTTCAATATAATCTTCTTGCTGAAGAGTAAGTTCATTTTTTTAGGAATTCAATTTCAAATTTTAAAGAAAGATAATTAAGAGAAAAAAATTTTTCCTTTAAAGGCCACTTGATTTTAGTTCTAAACTTGAATTTCTGCTCCAGAAAGGGGTTAAAACATTAATATATCATGGTGATGCCGACTGGATTTGTAACTGGTAATTATATAAATCATATTTTTTAATTTCTTTTTTGAAACATACGTATGCGTAGATTGCTTATCTAATATTTAAATAATAAAGGAAAGGGGGTTTGGAGATGTGTCTTAATCTTAATTGGAAACACAAATCTAAATTTTCATCGGCTCCTATGAAAGAATGGTTCGTCGATGGAACTAGTGCTGGTCAAGTCAAATGTACTGATATTTTATCATTTGTTACAATATATCAAGCTGGTCATGAAGCTCCACTTTATCAACCAAAATCTACATTAGATATGTTTAAGAAATGGTTATCTAATATAAATCTTTAATAGTTTTTTTTGTTAAGGTTCCTAACGTGAATTTTATATAATTTAGTAATTCTCATTTAATCTTTCTTAGATGCTATTAATACCGTAGTATGTTAATAACAATTAAAATAATTTCAAATATGTTTTTATTAATGAAATATTTATGTCGGTTATAATTCGGTTATAATTTTTAGTTCTAAAAAAAAACGTAGGGACGTTAATCGTAGTGTTTGTAGTCGATCCTTATTTATCTATCGACTTGACTAAGTCGATATTTAAAATTCGGCTTAGCCAGCTAAGTCAGAGTCGATTAATATTTTTACCTTCGGAATTTATCGGAGATTTCATCAAATTTTGTCGCGACCTTGCTCGTATTTTATGTTGACTTTCAGAAATTTTCGGTTATGTATCGAATCTGATTGGTACTTTAATATAATCTAACATAAAATCGACTACGATATTTCTGCGGCATGTGTACCCAGGGTATTCCCCTTGTTACCCGGGTACTCATATGGGAATATACCGTATGAATACTTCTATGTTTTTAATATGTTTTACTATTACATACCCGGTATATAAGTATGATTAGGGATCCAAACAGTCATCCGGGTAACCGTGTACCCGACTACCCGACCCGAAATTTTTATCAACCGGGTCAGACTTTTAGCAAATCGGTTGACCCGAAACCTTTTACTAATCGGGTGACCCGAAAT